TTTTTTTGACGGAGGTTTGGTTTCAATTCAATTTTTGTCTCGTGCTGCGCATCACTGTTATAGTCATCAGCAGATGCATTGCCATGTTGGTAACTTTCATCATCGTTATCTAATACATTTGTTTCGCTTTTATTTTCTTCAACAACAACCAATTTCTTTTTTCTATTTCCACGTTTTTGCTGCAATGGTGAAGGCAGTAGAGATGGTGCTTCTTTTCTATTTCGTTTGATCGGCACTGATGATTTTGTCTAGAAGCGAAAAGAAATGCATGCGTTAATAAGCAAGACAACAGAGGGTTTAAACAACTCTTTTTTAGCAGTGCAGGCTCATATATTATCAAATCACCTTTATAATAAAAGAGGGAATATTTACAACGGACGGGGCCTAGGAAAATTTAATGTTAAGCCAGTACAATAATTCAGAAGCTCTCGTACTTCAGACAAAATGTTTCTGAAACAAGCGTATGAGAAGAAAGGCTTTCAGCTAGAATTTCAGTACCTTTTTTGGTATTGATTTCTTTTTTCTCTTAACATTAATATTTTTTGATTGTGGACTACTATTCGTTGATTTAGCTCGTCCTCTTTTGTTTGTTTTAATGGTTGCTGTAGCTGCTGATAATGTGTCATCAATATGACTGTCTCTTTTTTCTTCATTTGAAGATGATAAAACATTTGAACAATAAACTAGTAATGTTTCAGCTCGTAATACTGCTTGTCTCTTATTTTTATAACGATTCGATGGAGATGAATTGGACGGCTTTTTGCGCGATTGGCGTACGAATAAGGAGGGAGATGTTGCTGTTGTTGTACTAGCATTTGTCGTAGTTGTTGATGAACGTTTTGTTAACTGACGTTGTGCTGGCGACTTTTTCTGTGCCACACGTGAAGCTTTCTTCTGAATGGGATTATTACGAGTAGAACGTGTTTTACGTTGTGTTGATTTTGTTTTGTTTCTAGAAGCAGCACCAGCAGCCGTGTGACGTGCCCGCTGCGACATGATCTAGAAAACACAAATTCAGATTAATCAACATAAGTGAAAACTTTAAAGAATAAAATAGCAATACGCTTACTAAAAAGACATAACAAGGATGTTCATGGCTCGAAACAATATTCAGAAATGGAAAATGCAAAAGAACCTAGTATACTAATTCTTACTATAAGAAAAGTTCAAGCTTAATTTGACCATTGTTTCTACCTCGACAAATGTTGTCCATCCATATAACGTCGGAGCCTTACGCCTAAGCTGATAGAAAGTCTAATGCAAATCTATAAACTCTTTCAACGCAGTGCACTACATACATAAGTCAGTTATTAGCGCGTATCTTTCACTAGAAAACAGCCTAACAATCAAAAGCAACCTTTCTCAGATTTCGACATTCACTGTAAAGTAAGACAAACTTTCTGTACTATAGAGCCAAACTCACCCACTCACCGGAAGACTAATAAGCTTTTGGGCGATGTCGTCCATCTTCAGTAGCAACAGATTGCGTTGCCTTCATTTTTCAGTCTCAAGTTGACTTGAGGACACTAATGCATTTAATACTATTTCCATTCGGTACCGACATCTCCTGTGATTCGTACGACATCTTGCAAGATACTAGATCTAGTCTTTCAAATGCAGATTTTACTGGTTTCTCTTATGTTCAGTTATGATGGAAGTTAGTGCACAACAGCACCGCACACAAGAACGGTACCGTTCTTCTTGAGTCTAACGAGGAACTTTTAATAGTAGAGAATAATACAAAGTTGTATTAAATTATGTTAAATCAAAGCTGTATTGGATAAATCCATCTGAAATGTCTCATCATTATAGCAAATTGATCCAGAAACCAAGAAAAATGATTATTACTCTTTCAGCAAAATTAGCGGTTCCGGCGCCACTCTCAGTGCGAATTGATCAGTACCACAATAAATTTTGAAACGTGTAGAGAATATAATTCTTGACCCCTCTATAATTAAAACCTTAAGTGCTTTATCCAAAAATCGGAGAACAATGTAAGGATCACGAGATATTGAGCTTTTAAAAATGAAATATATTTCAGTGTTATCTTGGTATTTTGAACTTCAGTTTGATAAAGACAGCATGCATAGGTTTTCTTATATTCTTAGTTCGATTATGACCATAAAACGCTGCAGTATGAAAAGGACCCCGCCGTTTAAGAAAAACAACTCTGTTTGAGCTTATATTCCACAGTTTTGTAGAAGAATGGAAGGCGAGTTTTTCTGTCGTGCCAGAATTTTTTCAGACCCCTCCTTAGTAACAAACCTAGGCTAACAACTTTTCTCAGTTGATATACTATCAGTCTAAATGATGGGTCCTATAAAATTTTATAGAAATGTTATGTACATAACATTTCTATAAAATTTTATAGGACCCATCATTTAGACTGATAGTATATCAACTGAGAAAAGTTGTTAGCCTAGGTTTGTTACTAAGGAGGGGTCTGAAAAATTTCTGGCACGACAGAAAAACTCGCCTTCCATTCTTCTACAAAACTGTGGAATATAAGCTCAAACAGAGTTGTTTTTCTTAAACGGCGGGGTCCTTTTCATACTGCAGTTGACGTCGTTACTATGATTACTATTCAGCCACCAACTAAAATTCAATGCCCCAACTTCTCGCACTGAGAGTGGCCGAAACCGCTAATTCTGCTGGAAGAATCATAGTAAGTTTACTTGGTGTCTGCATCAGCTATGAAGTCCGAAAGGACATTGTCACGTAACTCAATGTGCTGTGTAAACTAGACTAGTTTCAAGTGAAGTGGATCAACTTCCTGTAATGATAGAACATTTAAGATGGATTTACTCAATTGGAAGCACTCATTATAATTTCTTCACAGCCGTAAAAGCTCGATCTATTAGGTATAAAAAAATTACTCAATAAACTTACAACTTAATGTAAACTAATAATCTCAATATCTTTTTCTAGTGAAGTACAAGCATGTTCTTAACTAAGCCATTCCAGAACGCCCGAACGGCTAAGTTAACGGCGTGCTAACGTCGCATTAAGTCTAAGTTAACGGGTCGTAAACATACCGTATTTCCATCGTTAACTAGGACAGTATTACGGCCCGTTTTTACACCGTTAACGTGCCGTTTTTAAAGAGGGAAACTACTTCGAACTGCAGCCTAGGAACGTTTTTTTCTCAAGCTCGTTGCGCTTGATTCCATTATGTTTTACTCGGACTTTTCTTCGAGAACATGATGAAATCAATTTTTAATGTTTTCGTCAACCAGACGATGCTTTCATCACGCCACAATCTCTGTCTGAAAAGGAAAAGTCAATATTACCACAAAGTCAGAGAAAGTAGTACACAGCAATTTCGACCCGCTGTTTTTCTACTGTACATAAACATGTTCTAGTCCATAGCCATAATGTTGAACTATCTGATTTCGATAAGCTGTGGAGCTTACTTTTCAGAAACATTTGCTCAGGTAAACTAAGTCCCACTTCACTGTATTTCTCAATTCTGATTCTATCATATGATTGAAAATGATCTTAAATTAAACGTGAGAAAGGCTTTTAAGTTTTTTTTTGTTCATTCGATTGTGAATTTTACCAATAAGGTTACGTTTGCCGTATGTAAAGCATCGAGCATCCACGCTGGAACTTTCAGAGAGTGTATAGCCGTGGATATTATCGCTAGGACCACCCAGGCAAGCCTTTTTTTGAGTCAACACGCGTTGAAACGCGTTAGTTTTGGCGGGTGATGCGTTAGTGTACTGTAAACCCATCGAAACGCGTTTAAATCCAACGCACTCTGACGTGTTAGAGAAAACGGATGCGTTAATTACCAACGGATTTAGCAGACCAATTTAGCAGGACCATTATTTGGTAATCTGACGGGTTTTTATATGTTAGTTTCTGCTGTGATTTAATTTTTTTTTCAAGGTGGGTCATAAAGGACGAAGTAAAAAAGCCCTTTGACTTTAAAATCTTCTTTTGACCGAAACAGAACGAAAACAATAAGAAAAGACAAAATAGCAGTGCGACCTGTATTAGCAGATTTATTTACGTTCAACCGCTAGATGATGACAGAGGAGAAACATCCTGTCTCAAAAGGTCATCTGGCGACTTTCATAATACAATGCAACTTAGTATCAGAATTCACCTTTAAACAGAAGGATAAGGAACTCAAATATTGACTTAACAGATAGACTATTTCATTTCTCTCAAACACATAGTTAGGTACGAGAAAGGAGATAATTGTCTGCGAAAATAGTTTATTCTGACCGAAAAAAATTGTTTATTTTGTGAAACTTAGAAGTAATAGAATAAAGAAGCAGTCTTTTTTGTCTGGCTAAGATGATCGAAACACATGGCATTGTTACTGTATATGTTGCGATGGTCTTTTAGCTCAGATGGTTATATGTGTTTACTTCTTAATTCTATGTACCCACGTTCGAATCACACTGAAGTCATGTAAATACAAGTTGTTTTCTTTCTCTACTTTCTTTGTCACTCTACTAGGTTGTATAGTCATTTGTATACATATCGATGCATACAGACATGTACCGGAATTTAATTTAATGTTGAATTTTATTGTTTTTCATTTTTATTTTAAAAACTAACGCGTTGGAACGGTCAGAATTCATCATGATAAACCCGTCAGGAATTAACGCACATCAACGCGTTTTTGTGCGAAAAAAGGTTTGCCTAAGCAGTTCGTTGCTAGAACCATTCTAGCAACCTGTGAATGAGGTGGAATGGCTGAGCCCCAATCCTCTGTGCGTCAAACAGGAACCAACTGATCTTTGCTACATCTTGAAAGTCACTAATTCAGTCCCAGTCCACTAGAGGCCAAGTCCAAATCAGTTCCAGTCCGCGATGCGCTAAAAATTTTCAGGCCCAGTCCGCTAAGCTTTAACTCCGATGTTGATCACAGAGTACATTGTTTTCCACATCCATTCTTTTCCTTTTTTTTATCATAGAGTTGAGCTTCTTTACATGGCTATAGGAACAAAAAAAGACAAAATTTTTTTGAACGTTAAAAAGCAAGAACAAGACAGGACTTGTTTTCCTTTTTTATACGAAAGCAGAGATGGACAACTCCAGTATTTTTTCAGTCCCAGTCCACTAGGGGCTAAGACCGAATCAGTCTCAGTCCGTGTAAAAAAGTCTGTCAGTCTGGACTTGGACTTCCCCCTCTCGGGAAGAAATCAGCCTGAGGCATTTTCTCACTTCCGTGTATTTTTATTTTGAGCTCTTGCACAATCACTGTGTTTTACCGAATCTAGAGAAAAGGAGTCTTAGATTTTATGTTATTTATAAATTTATATTATCTAAGAAAGATAAAGAAGACCCGTAAAATGACCCAAGAAGGACATAGTTCAACTGTCACTAAGGAGAAATTGCAAAGATTTATTTATCTTAATTCGCTCTCTCCCTCTCTTGGAAACTGCTGTGTACTTACCTTGTAAAATACATAAATATTTTTTCGCAATAATTCATCTGAAAAAAAACAACAACACATAATTTGCAATAAAAAACGATGAAAAACAGTTTCGCACTATATTGAGAAAAGGTGAAATCATATGTGTTTATAAAGAGAAAGGTTCTAGTCTATATATATACAACGGTCGTTCTATTCTTTCTTTTTTTTAAAAATATTATTATATATAGAATACACGTGTAGTCTATATATATATATATATATGCACACACACATCTACTCAGCTGTTTCTATACATCATGTTCGAAAAAGACAACGCACATAGAAACACGAGAGTAAGATATACTAGAGCACTAGCAAATAAGGAGATATCTCTTTTCGCACATGCATATCTTTCATTTCTATCGACTCGATGAAGCCCAAAAAATGTCCACACGTGGGATATCTTATGTGAAAAAAGATATATCCTTATTTGCTAGTTCTCTACTAATACTAGAGCCGTATCAAATAAGGGATATAGCTATCACTTCACTTCTTGGCAAGTGCGAGCAAGTGTCTATATACTTGCTCGCACTTGCCAAGAAGTGAAGTGAGAGCTATATTCCTTATTTGATACGGTTCTACTATATGTAATACTTACGGTGACAGTTTTCATAACGTAGCTTACGGGCTGTTTTTTCATCGTTAACGGTCCTACAAAAAAATATTTCATCGGTACTGGTTGTGCACGGATGCGCACCGGTGCCAAATAATTTTTTTTCTGGGCATCGGTGTCAGAAAGAATGTAAAATTCTCCCATCGATGCGCACCAGTGCCAAAATTTTGTTTTGTCAATTTCTGTCTATATAAACACCATGGTCAGTGCCACATCCTAATATAAAATGCAATATAAACAACCATGTGGTCGCACTACAAAAAAACTTAAGTCTTCGTTATGGACACTTACGTGCTAATTTTATACACTTCGGTGAGTTAAGCTTTTTCGTGATACGCTCCCCATGCTAAAAAACTAATTAAACTGGTTAAATAAATTTCAGCGCAGTACCGATTTTTACCAGTGCGACACTTTTTTGGCTTAAATATATCGACATTTGTTGGGCACGGGTGCGCACCGGTGCCAGCCAGTGATCGATGGCATGCCATACGCAACGTTGCACACTGGCAGTGCCGCACTGGAATTTCTTTTGTAGGGGGTTGTTCTTTTTGGCCTGGGAGAGTGTATATGAGTTTTACTTTTATTTTTATTTTGTTTTCATTATATATTTATTTTGCTTAATTAGGCATCTAGATCTAGCGCATAGTGCTTTTTATCTTACACATGGGACAACGTATATGCTAGACTATTGTCTGTTAATCGTTACTCTTTTTGTGTTTGCGCTTCAGCTGTTGTTATTATAGGTCGCAAACGTTGGCTCTCACTACTTATAATAAGTTGAATTTTTATTATTATGACAAGAAATATCACATATAGATAGATAAACATGATAAATTATCAAAAAAACATTGAAAATAAAAGATTCTAGAAGTCCTATTACACCTATGCAACGCTTTCACTATTTCTTTGGCATTGGAGCTTTACCAAATAATTGATGACGCATTTTATATTCTTCATCGGTCAAACATTGTCTTGGTGGTATAAACACATCTGGATCACTGATACCCGGAGTGACATCATATATAGAATCATGGAAAACACCACGTGCTGGAGTAAAATAGGTCTGTTGTATCGGAATACATTGTTCATACGTCCATGTTCCTATATAATATATTGTCTCGTTCTGAGGTGTTGTAAAATTTCCTCCCCTAATAAAAGAAGGGAATAGAATATACTTTATGATAAATCAAGTACTTTTTAATTAAACTTACCAGATTGTTACCAATAAGCCTGCACCTGGACCACTACTTGTGCCAACATAAGCTTCACCATATGAACGCGCATCAGGTGCGATACCAAACTGTCTAAATGGTCGGTTAATTGTACGACGTGTACAATTGCGTGATCTTAAACTGATCACAAATTCTATTCTTGCTTGAAATAATGCAATGACATCGTAGTATTCGGCCGTTTGATTGCCTACATCAATTTCTTCAATTAAACGTTCTCGTTGATAAACAGCATCATAGCTTAATCGACCTCGTCTGCTAAATCGTTCTGAACTATCACTAGTATAATCAAAGAGACGTCCCTCCCACTGAGGCGGTGATACTAAAAGAAAATTGTTAAGTTAGTGAATTGATTATAATGTCGACAATCTGTAAGACAATAAAGAATGGACATACCACATGGTCTTGGTACTTGTGCTAAGGCACCCACAATCACACAAACAACAAGGAAAATTGAAAACATTTTGCCGAATAATCTGTTAAAGTTGAATACTGAAAGCTCAAACAAAACTTAGTAACTGCGAGCGGTTACATATATACTATTTTAAAGAGATAAAGCAAGTCACGATTACTGAATAAATTCTGTTGGTTTGTTATATAACAAGAAAAAAAAATTCATTTTTATTTTAACCAACGAGAGGACGGACAACGAACCTTGTAGTTTTAAAAGAAGATTACAGTCATCATGATAGTGAGATGTGTTGGTATACTCTTATTTCTAGATGTGGTAAGAGGTCGACATATCACGAAATATCAACAAGGGATGAGAGGAATAAAGATAAAAGATGTTTATTGACTAAGCTTACATGAGAAATTTTAGCATCACACACATTAGAGAAACATTTTGGTTTTTACACAAAAGTATGTGCGATAAATCTTTATGCTTTGAGTTAACTCAGAGTAGAAGAACCAGATACTTTTTCTATGCAATTCGCTGTTTTTCTTCCCATCGGGAAGAATCAAATCTTATTCAATGAAAAATGTAATGGGGCACGGAGGTTTATATTACTTGCAAACAAATGCAATGCACGTTCATCACATATATGTCGAGCGTCTTATATTTTCTGCCATAACAGTCACACCTACCTAAGAAAATCCGCGGTTTGCGTCGGTTTTAAAACTTCGCGCCATATGATGGATGAACGAATTTTTGTTTTGACTGAGTATTTATCAATTTTGTTTTTTCAATTGAAAATGTGCTGATGAAGTGTTAGTCATCATGGTCACTGTTCAAACTCACTTTAATCGACAATGGGATTGGAATCACCAAAATAAAATAGTATCAAATGAATATGAAAAAGGTATTTCGAGACAATATCATGCTATAGAAGAAAATGAAATAAAATCGCTTGTAAGCAATCGAATAAAAGAACATTTAGGCACAAAAAAATATGATGCGAATCTTGGAATCGATTTGAGTCAAGCCATTGCTAGAGAAATACGTGAGGAGTTAAAAATGAAATATAAAAATCATAAATATATTATACAAGCAGTCGTTGGTGAATTGAATAACATGTGAGTAACTTACTTATTTAGCATTTTTCTCTTTATCCTTACACTCTCATATTTAGCTCCGAGTATACTTCGATCCAGGCCTTATCGGACAATGATCGAAGAAAAGAAACATTAATATATGAATCGAGACAAACTTCAATTAAGTCAAATTATTCCAAAAAGCTAAAATTAATTGCATCCTGTCATTTCGATCAACGTACCGATAAATCGATTTCTATCACTGAAGATAATGGTGAAATTTATTGTGCTTGTGTCATATTTATCTTATATTATATAACCATGCCTTCCTCATCGTTACTTGCTACTGACAAGCATAAGGATAACACAACTTGAAACGTGAAATTGATATGAAGTTTTTTCAGTTATATTTGTGCTGTTAGTCTGGTATTTTCATTGTGAGTCCTAATAATTCTAATGGTTTAAGCATCAAAATTTTTATGTATTTTTTTACCATTCTATTCAAGAGAAAAGTGACAAATTTTTCGTTTCGAAATCTAAAATACGTCAAGACTTTGAAGAAATGAGATTTAAAACAGTAACTTATGCTATCCTCTAAAGAAAATAGCTTTTTCTTGTATAATATTAACTATCCACATTAAATTTTTGTAAAAAAAATGGCAATTTTTTTTATTTAACTTCAGTAAAACGACTTATATTTCTCTGTTAAATTAAACATAAACTTTAAAAGAGTGTATTAATAAGTATACGTCGATTTTTATTTTTCATAGTGATTGTTGATATAGCCAATAAAATATTTTGCGATATACCTATATTTAGTATTTTTATTAAGTATAAAAATATACGCATATATATAGTTTTTTTCTCTCGTTTTCTATCATTTATGGTACAGCAGTTGTACAATATGTATTCAGCGCAGTAGTTTCTTTATAAAACAAAAAATGACCACGCTCACACAATCGCAACGAAACAGATACCAATAGCTGAAGAGGATGTGGAGAAAAAAGCAACACAATAATTGTTTAAGGATATATACAGGAAAAAAGATGGTATTATTAGTAATTATTATTATTATTGTTATTGTTATTAATATGCAGCAGAATCAATACATATAGTTTAGAACAAACCACATGAATGATTGAAACAATTTTTAGAACAAAAATAAATTAACAAGAAAAAATAGACAGAAAATCCATACGATAGATGTTTATGTTGTTCAAAAAATAGACAGAGGGAAAAATCAATTTTTAAACATTTCAGCTCTAACATTACACAAAAATAGCGAGACCAACATAATCACATTAAAATAAATCTATGAATGATGGTTTTCGTGCTTTGTGATATACTTACAGATACAAACAAAAAAGATATGTACAATCCGCATTATGTACATATACATTCTGTGACTAAACGTAACGGAGTCTGATAAAAAAACAAAAAACATTGCAGCATACGAGAAGAGAGAAGCGCAAAGATTTAAAATGATAATGGTCAACTTTGTGTAGTAGAAGTAGAAGAGATCACATCATCAGAACATAACAAATTAATAAGTAAATCGTCCGCTGTCGTAATGTTTGGTGTAGTTGTAGATGAACCAAGGTATGTTTCAGCTAAATCATCTATATCATCCAATAAATCCTAAAAATAGAAAAAAATCTCTATTAAGTAATTTTTTTCCACTCTAAAGTCATAGGAATCGAAAATGTGCATAACGGAATTAATATACGCCTAGTTAATTAACAGTTCTCGCAATTAATTTCAGTTTTTAAGAACCCTCTACTTACCGAAGTTATGTCGTCAGTAAAATTATTTGTATCGTTAAAGTAAGCATCCAGATCACTATGAATAGTTTTAAGATCTTTTTGTTCAGTATTAGTAGCATTGCTTGTTAGATCTTGATTTGATGCTGGCTCATTTAATTTGATATTATTCGTTGGATGAGAGTCATAAAAGTGAAATTCTTGTTGTTGTTGAATATCATTTGGCAATGTTGGCATAGACTGTTGGGTTTGATCAGTTTGATATTCAGTCGAAGACATTGAGGTTGTTGACAGAATATTGTTTGGAAGTGGTGCAACAGAGCGTGGTCCAGCTGTTTGCGGTGTAGCTGGAGCAGATAATGGATTCGGTGTAGATGGCATCATTGATGGCGTGTGAGGTGTGTGAGGAAAACCATTTTGATGATAAGGCACTTTTGATGTTCCTACACTTGGCGGTCCTGGTGTCAGTCGACGATCGTTTGATTCGCCTGGACACAAAGCATCTGTTATTGAATTAACAGATCCTGGTGGGTGATGATTTGATAGACAAGGTACAGTACTATATTCAGTGCCATGTAACATGCTTGGTGTACCGGGATTACTGACTGGGCTCGTGAATTGTTGGTGTTGTAACGGTGATTGTTGAACACTAAATAGACTGATGTTTTCTGATTGATGCAAACTTGGACTGTATGGTGAAGGCAAATTCATTTGCCATGACTGAACTGTTGGCAATGATGTGTTGGGTGTTAACTGTTGATATTTCATAGAAGTTTTCACATTATATTCGTTTAACAACGGTGTAGAAGCATTAGTAATAGTGTACAGTGGATTTGTTGTAGATTCATCCTTTATTGTTGAGTATTGCTGATGCTGTTGGTACTGTTGCTGCTGAGTGTGTGACAGATATTTTAACATCCTGTTGATCAATGGTTTCCAGTTACCATGAATATCCATTAGTATATCATCAATATCCTCACTTGCTTTATTGTCCAAAATAGACCATAACGATTGATCAACCTCAAGTATGTCATGTGTTAAATGTTTAGTACATAATGGACAAAGCCATACAATTCTTTCACAATTAAGGATTAAAAATGAATGTAGGTCATAACACTAGAAAATAAACAAGTAAGCGTTTAAAGTAAATGCAAATTCTTCTCGTGATTTTAGCTGAACAAAGTTACAAGCAGAACAAGACACAATTTAGAAAATAGGATGATGGACTAGAGTTAAATGCAAGTTTCATGAAAACTTGTGATCTTCAACATTGCTAGGAGGAATGTATTTAATGATTCGAATGATGCCATTGACGAAAGTTATGTAGTCCAACGCTGTGATGTTTTTATATGATACTGTATTAAGTGGCGAAGCTGTTTATTACCGGTCTATTGAATTCATTCTTTGAAACGCAATCAAGGAAAAGTGGTTCAGATTTGGAAGACACTTCAAGCTATTTCATACTAGTATTGCTACTGAAGGTTAGTCCCATACGCACAGCATAACAAAATGACAATTCATCCAGTGAATGTCTTTAAAATGACATTCACACCGTCGACATCTGTCTATCTGCGAAATCAGCTTTCTTTGTGGTATAGAATGATAAATATTTCGGTAATGGTAGTAGGATTTCAAAGAACGAAAAGTGATTTGGAAATCCTAATTTTCATTTGAATTTCTTGAAAACTTTCATCCATCTTGTGTTTTTTCGAAGTTGTATTTTTCACTAGTCTACATACTAATAACACACATCAGTCAGACCATTTATACTCCTATTATTAGTCAGCTGCATTTTTTATATCTCATTATGACGTATTACCTGTATATGCGTACAATGCCTGCCACGTGCTGGAAGTCCAATTCTTTGTAATGATATCGGGCATTTCAACGGTAGCTTAGTTTGCATTGGCTCAATACCATCACCAAATGTACCATCTGCAGCTACGTTCAGATTAAAATTGTGTTTCACTAAAAAGCATTATGCAAATACATAAAAGAACGGTACAGTATGGAGAAAAGAAGAGTAAAGAAGTATAAATATGACGACGTAATGTGTCAGATGAATAAATCAGGCATAAATCGTACAGAAGACTGAATAGAAAATATTTCATTTGGTGAACGCTTACACTTTTGTCCATAATGCTCAACGGTTAATAGCTGATTTCCTAATATCATTTGTACCAAATTTGTTATAAATAGTCTTGAAACAAACTGAACAACGCATTGATATGCCTAAAATTTAGACGATCGTCTGCCTGTTGAATAATTGAAATGAAAAAAGTTACAATAATATGACTTACACAAATACACCCCGTTGTTGTAATGATTAGTTGGTTTACTCCTTGTTTACAAAATTGTTTAAAATATAATGAATGATATTTACGTTCAGGATGTAATGGTTGACAATTCACTGTTATACTGACACAATTGGGCCAAAATGGAGCTTGAGTTAGATCCTCCTTTGAATAAAATTTTAATTGAATATCGTAATCTTGCCTAAAATAACAAAGAAGAGATTAATGAGCAAGCTTGTATCAAGCTCCCTAATATTGTAGACAACAAACATTTAGCTATCAAAATTTTCTAATAATAAAAATGTGAACTCAGCGTACTTACGTTGCTTTTAGTTTATTGTAAATGTCACCTCGCAGATCGAATTCAAGAGGATTTTCTTTTGGACTGTTATTGTCATGTGGCACTTGAAACGGAGATACCACTACAGCATTTGGTAAAGGGAGTGTAATTCGAATGTCTTCTCGTCGGGCACTGTTATTAGTATTAGCGGATAATTTCCCATCGTGCTGACTATTATAAGGTGTTGCAGGTGGAGTTGGGGCAATGTAATTTGACTAAAAAATAGCGACACTACAGCGAAGCAAAAACTTCAAACAAACATACATACAACGGGATCCGGAGTAGACGATGACATTCTCGATGGTTGTGTGCTTGATTGCTGATTATTTGCCACAACAACGTTTGATTGTACTTGTTGAGGAACAGTTGCTTGTTCTTGTTGAGAAGTGACTGTAGTAGTTGTTGATGCAGATGGTAATGTAGAAGTTGACAGCGATTGTTGTTGCATTTGTTGTTGTTGTTGCTCTTGTTGTTGGACATATTGATAGGCAGCTTGCTGCTGTTTTAGTCTGGCTAATCGTTGCATATTATTTGTATTATTCGGAACATCATAACTAGGATACATTTGTATTTGTTGTGGTGTGTATTGGTTCGCGGTTGGATTCATTGCATTTAACGCTGTAGATGAATACATGCGTTTATTCATAACAATAACTTGTGGATTTGTAGGATAGGGTAATGCACGAGAATTTTTCGACAATGTTTGATGGTAGCTTGCCACAGGACCCAAGCTACCTTTCGACATTGCTTGTATCATTCGTTGTTGATGCATTGCAGCAGCTTGTGATGAATGCATTCCATAGGGATCCTTAGAAAAACATGGTTCTGAATAAAATTTTTACAAGTTAAAAGGTCTACATACTATATAATTCGTGGGTGGATATTGGTTTAAAACAGTATTCGATGATGGTGCATTGTAAGTCATTTGTGTAGCAGCATAGTTTTGAGACATTTTTGATGAATAAACACCATTTATTGTTCCGTTTGACATCTGAGAAGGATTCGCTACTGAAAAAATAATAATATGGCTGTCTTAAACATTATTGTCACTTATACAGACAGACCTGAAGGATGTTGTACATAGCCTAGTTGACTATGGGGATTAGCTGGCCAAGTTCCTGTACCCCCACCAGTATCACCCATTCTCGCTGCCGAAAATTGTTGATTTTGGGCATTCATCATTTGCTGTTGTGCCCAAACATTTTCATTAAACATTGGATGTGGTGTATAATAACCGTTGTTATGATTCCATGCTCGTAACTGCGCATCATTATAATACTCTCCATTACTAAAATCAAGTTAAGAAAAATAATTAGCAGGCGTTAGCTTGCGAAGACTAAGACATAATCACACGGATGAAAGACAATCATAAAGTCATTCCATACAAATGCACTCATACACACCTTGGTAAAAATTCTTGCATCGTATTTAGATATCTTTTTGTTATATTTTATACACTAGAAGAAACAAAAAGTGTTTATATCTACTTAAATAAACTAGTTTTTCAAAACTGAACTCTACATGCATCAGGTTCTAGCACTTTCGCACTGTAGGCGAGAGGGCGGATCATCCGTTTTGTTTTCGATCGTTATGGACTATGCAAAGACCAGTTTCATTGTGCAAGCATTGCAGAGTCGACTAAGTGGAACGGTAGTTAGAGAAAGTTCATACAAAAAAACTCTAAAGAGAGATGTAGATAGAATTTGCAACGGTTGAAAGTTACATGTTATCAATGAGTCAACTCTTTATGTTTTCTCAAAGATACACTTGTACTATATACGTCGTGCTATACAGAAATTGCATTGTTTCTCTCACCGTCCAATAATTAGTCTTTAAACTGTGGACAGATTATCTACACAACGATAGAAAAATATATTTGATTCCAAAAACATGTTTCTAAGCTGAATTGTGAGTTTTTGCGCATAAACAGGAGGGTACAGTGATTGTAGTACTCAAAAAGTGAAGTGTTTATCTCTCCTGAATTAAGACTTACTATCCAGGTCGTAAAATCCTACTAGGATCTGAGGCCATTCCTACATACTTCTACCTAAACCTAATAGAATCCTATTGTAGGACTCTTTGATCTGAGTACCGTTTTATGGAAAAGCGATCAAAGCATTATGTGTCATAAACCATCCACTAAAAGAAGTCTAAAGTAGTGGGTGGTCAACATATGAGTAGGTCTTAAGAGAGTGCGAGCAGCACTTCGTGCAGATTTAAGTCATTAAGAGTGTTTGAAAGTGTTAAAGATGTTATGAGAGAAATAGTGCTCTCCTCCCAGGAGTTAGATCTAGAGAACATCATTTGATGAAGTACTGTGTATCAAAATGAGCTCAGATCTGTCTTCTCACTGTAAAAAAAAGTAGCGAAAGAAACCCCAAAACAGCGAGTGTGGAAAAGTTCAATATATCGCTGAACTCCGCAATAAAGAAATCACCAGTAAAAAAATAATGGTTTCCTTCTGAATGATGAATATGGCGGCATATGAGGAGTGGATATCTCACCACGCGATAGACAGTGTTAGTGGAATAAACATTTAATAGTTTCCGGTCTATTTTAAAGACTTAATGGAGCATTCATAACTAGAGACTCATGTTCTAAGGTTTTCACCGAAAGTATGCTGCCCGTCTAAGCATATGATTGTAAGTCCTGACTTTCTTGTGTATCTTCAGATTTCAGATTCCCATGCTAGGCAATTTGCTTATGAAATAGGCACATTAGAGCTAAAGGAAAGGATTTTGCTGTACTAGAGCAAAGCTGTTTATTCTGACGAGCTGCAAAAAACTCACTTAATTTTCACTCAATTCATTCAATCGTCGCTTGTTATGTTTGTTTCAGTTTTAGATTTTCGCAAAAGCAGACTCTTTTATTATACTGATTTCTTTCCACTTCCGTCAGATTGGAAATCTCAGATGATACTTGTTTTTGTTTGTTTACTATCAGATTATATAGCAATTTAGTATTGTTGCAGTTGTTGGGATTAATCACCACATCTTAATCTCTTAAGTATCGAACACTATTCTATTAGCTTACTTCCGGTGCGTTATAGTTTTTTGCCACTTTTTTAATTATGCAGTTTAAAATATTTGGATCAATTTTATATAAATCTTCAACTTATTCTGTTTATTCCTACAATTTTTCGAATAGGTCAGAACAATTCTGGCTTGTTTGTTTTTTCGTGCTTTGATAACTTTCTATATTTTGTACATTGTTTAATCAATTATCTGACGAAACTGTTTTTAACGTTAACCGAACGTTCTTAAAAGTTCATACATGTTAAATTGTTATGTTTCACAAAATCTGACGTGTCAACTACGTTCTGGCTTAAAGCATCGAAAATAAACTTGAGGCACAATATTGATTCTAGCCAAACAACACAGGTATACAAGACAGTCGTAAATGTCAAAATTGTAAACCGACACACTACTATAGAAAGTGACTTAATCACTCAAGTCAATGGTAAGTTACTCAAGCGTTTTGTTCAACTAGAATAATATATGTTTGACATGATCATAAAAATCTTAATGTATAAACAAAACAGAATTTAGCTGCTCCAACTTAGCATTCATAGTGGGATATCTTGTCTCACGATATTCTGCAATGTTGTAAGCACCATCAGTCAATTTTTTACACAGCGATCACAACTGCCAAATCAATCTCTTAGAATAATCTTCCCTAATAAAAAGACGAAGAATAGTACAGCTTAGACATTAGAGCTATGGAGTTAAACATAAAGTTGAACAAGATCATCTAATTATTCATAACGTCTGCGTTGTACCAAACAAGCTGTAGTCCGTACTCTAAATTATCATGTGAACATTACTATTTCACAAAAAACCGACAAGTTTTGGAAATATATTCATTTTCTAGAATTCAGTATCCGCTAATTAAACCACATATCAGAAAAATAACTTGTCATATTATCATAATGTATCATGTTCAATAGTTGAAAAATCGAAATCTCTTTTTGTTTGGAAGTTTTCTAATGATAAAGAGTAACAAGCTGGCTTAATTACTATATCAGTGTTCAACGAAAAAGTCATCTTTTGTAAAAAAAAGAATAAAAGCTAACCTTCATGTATAGTACACGGAAAAAGACAACAGGTTTGAACAACAATCATCACGAAAGAAAAAAAGCTGTCACCCACTCTTTGAAATATTAAATGAAAAAAATGGTGGAAAAGATAACTTTAGCCAATGATTTCTAGAAGATAATGCTAAAAATATCTCGCAAAATGGTTCAAGATCAACTAGCACCAAAGCATATCACCACTGTTCAAATTTGTAGAAGCTAGAAACTGCTTTTAATACTAGATTTTTCTTGGTCACTACAATATACTAGATCGATATTTGTGTGCTTTTGCTTGGAAGATTTCGTCTAGATTGGATCAATCTTCGGGATATCGTCGTAGATTTTAACTTTTTCGTGTTAGAATTTCTACCGTTTCTATTATGGAATCAACGACCATGAAGAAGAATCCGAAAAAACGATTCATGAAGAACGATAACCAGATAAATGGAACTGAAAATGCGAAAAGAAATAGAATATATCAGCACAATTCACATACACTTGGATTAAATTTTTTTCAAATGTTTCACAGCTCTTTCCTGTTATTATTTAAACGAATAAATCTTCTGATACCTATCACAAGTTACGCACTTAAACTGATACAAATTACATTCTTAGAAATATACAATGAAAAACTTTTTGTTTTCGTCTGTCAAACTGGTCAAAAATGACAAGAGAAAGAAAGACAAACAAATAGAACAAGAAAAAAAGAAAGTTTTGTTATATTCATTCACACACTTTGTCCAGTATTTCGATTATTCCATGTTTGGAATACTTACCTATTTGGATCATTATTCCAAACTTGTTTCATCATATTCATTCATTTACTCGTATATGATATTCTAATAATTAGAAAATCTTTTTGATCTTACATAACGGTCAAAGTATTAAGGAAAAAAAATTGATTTTTTATCAATTAAAATCGAATAGATCATTTGTTTCACTATAATCAATTACACCGAAAATATAATTTGAATATCTCCCTTAAAACATTAATCTAGAAACAAAAATATAACATTGTTTTCACTTAATCAATTAAAGAAAATCAATTGCACATAATCAAAAGCGGTGACAAAAGAAATGGTATATCACTCTCTTTGTTTAATTATACAAGATGATACAGTAAATAATAATAAGTAATAATCAGTGTAATAATATAAGAATAACAACAATACAAACGTCAATTGTACGAGGTTTTTTCTTTTTCTCTCTCTTCTCCTATTTCGATTTTTTTCTCTTTTTCCTTCATCGTATTTTTTTATCTCTCTTATTGTCGATTTCCTTTTCTTCAATCTATAGAGGTAAATTTTTCTCTTCGCTCGCTCCATCCTCTCCCTAAGTTAAAACTCGTCCGTAGAATTCATGGAACGTGTGGATATGTCACTATTCACAGAAAAAGAAAAGAACGTACCGATCAAACCTCTATCAAAAGTCTATATCAAATCAAAATGAAGAAAAAAAACTTTCAGTGGTTGTATGTATACACATGTATAGCATACTATATAGTACAGCAAATAACCATCAGAGCCAGGCGGGAGGGTACCGGCTCGGATGAGGCATTTATAGAAAACTATTTTAACGAGACGAGTGAGACAAAGCCACATCGAACAATTTGGCATAGTCACTGTTCTGTGGCGCATGGCAGTATATAACGAAATTCTGTTCATCAAAGAGGATTTTTTCGAGATTTTTATTGGTGGATATTTTAACGAGTAAGTGTAGGAAACTGCATTACGCCTATCAGTGTTTCTAACATTACGCGTACGCCTTTGTTCCAAAGCGTACGGTACGCGAACAAAATTGGAAATACGCTTTGTATATCAACCAATAGGAAAAGACAGAACGATAAAATCCACGAATTACCACGTTTATGTACGCGCTGCTCAAAATTCTCATTAGAAACCCTGACGCCTATCACATAATATGTATCTTGTTTCATTCTATTCTATTTGAATCAGTCGGATAATAAATAAGTCTTAAACTATGTCTACTATGATATCATCTAATAATCGAATCGATTCAAGTATTTCTATTTTCTCTCTTCTATCTTCTCAAAAATCAAATACTTGTAAAATAATTCAACAAAATTTAAAAAATCAGATATATCAATATAAAGTAGTTACCCCGTTTTTTTTAATTAAAATCGAAAAAATGGGATAGTTTTGGACTACCCACGAGGTTAACAGATAATGGTACATTTTCGGTCCTTACACACTGAATAATGCTGTGTTTATTTGTTCGTCGATCAGACAAAAAGATTTAATTTTACAGCAACAAAATAGTCGAAAACTATATGCTGAAAAACGTTTGATAAAACAAAGACGAATGAGCCATCTCAATCGATATCTACTTGG